TGAAAATTATGAGAAAATAAGGAATGTAATTTAAGCATGCTGAAAGCAAACTACTTACACAAGATTGGTACATAAATAGCACCAATTCCTGCACTAACTTAAATTTGTCAGAGTTTCCAATTTAATTTTCCATATCAAACAGTGTGGGAATAGTTTTTAACTATTTTGATTTTACAACATGCAAACTAAATGCAAATGGGATAGCCCAAAACAGAGGTCGTCAGGTAAAAATATTTAGTTAACATCATTGCTTCAGTTTATTTCATGAGTTTCATAAGCCTTTTTTAATAATCAGATTCAATTTTGTGTAACACCATGCCTTTCTCTCAAAAGCCTGGTATAAAGAACGCCTTAGAAGGAAAAACTGCGTAACTGAAAGTAAAACTAATAAGGTTAAAAACTGGAACTTAAAAAGAAAGGTAAAAAACTACGTTGTGTAATACTGAAAAACAGCCAAAACTTTTTATAAAGTTCTAGCTGCCAGAAGAAAGCTATGCTCTAGGTAGCACTACTTCACTAGAAGCATTAAAACACTGAAACAATGATCCCTGCAAGTAAAACTGTAAATACTCCATTTTTAATTTTTTTTGTTTGGAGGTTTAGACCATTTTACCTAACAGATGTTAGACAGAAGCCTCACAGGATACCAGCAGATGAAAGGTAAATTGTTGCTTGGGCAACTATTCACCTTGAAAATTGTCAGCCAATTTTTTGGCCAAATTTAGAATAGCTATATTACTTCAGCATGATGGAGACTTCAGCTTCTGACAGGAATGGAATGAAGTCCCCACCACAAATAGCCAACCGCTCCCACTCTCTATCAACTGGTATAAGCTGATCAACGGGCATGACTGTAAAATTCAATGGCAGCAGGCAGGCAAGTCCATTTAGCTATGTGTACCCCTGCAGAGGAGGAGCTGGGAAGAAAGACGTAGAAATCAAGACCACGGTTTTGCAGTGGCACTTTGAGTCAACTCTTGAAAGGAACCCCTATGACTTTATTCCAACTGTAGATCAACCTGGAAAACTTTGTATTTTCTTTTATTTTTCAATAAATGAATCTTCTAGCTGAGTGTGTGTGGGTTGATAAGTTGCTAAGTCCCTTCTCAAGCCAATGCCAATTTCTTTCACTTGCTAGCGCCTTCAGATGCTACTGGAATAGTCAAAAGAAGTATCAAAAAAATTGCACCCAGCATCTTATAAAAAGTTAAGCAACCTAGATAAGCCTTTTCTCAGGAAATAACCAATCCAAAACTGTGATTCAGTACATTTATAAATTATTTGAGACACTATTATGATTAGATTTTGATTAACACTATTAAGTCTCCTTTGTCTGAACAATGGCTTTGGAAGGAAAAAAAATCCAGTAACTTAAAAATTCTTTCAAACTGACAAAAACTTCAGGATCAGAAACATGAAGACCAAGTGGGTACATTTCACTACTCTGTATTTTTCCAAAAGGAATGCTACTTTATATGAAGTGTTTGAAGAAGAAATCTATAAACATGCTAATAAAAATAAGTACCTTTCTTGAACAGGTAAGTTGCTAAAGAGCAATATGAACAGTGCGCGTAATGGCTCATTTTGTAACGCACAATGCAGTAGTTTATTACAAACTGCCAACAAAAGGAGTAGGCTACTAGAGAGCTTTCTCAGGTTTAACTTCCTTTCAAGACCCGAAGACTGAAGCCAGAACACAAGTGAGAAAGATACTGCTGCCAGTGTTTAACACATAGATACTATTTGATACAGCTTTCTGTTTTGAAAAGCAATGCTGAAGAAAAGTTTCAGCTATGACTAACCAGTACCTTCCCTGCTCCACTGCAAGACAATAATAAGCACAGTGAGGAGGAATATGAGCTCTAACAACATTCAAAGATAAAACAAGCTTAGCCGAGACTTTTCAGAACAAATTCAGTGCAAAGAAAGTCTCTGTGTACGTACACCTGGTAAAGCGGACATTTTGGCAGAAGCATAATTACTGGACATTTTTCAAAGAAAACTGTACATTTACCGGACAAAGTAGTTAGCTTCGTACGGTTGTGATGACTTCCCATTACGTAAATGGAATCTAGGACCTAGGTGAAGGTATTTTTTTCTCTCACACACTCATGAGAACATTAAAGATGTCCTCTGCTGCTTACCTGGGAAGCAAGGCTTGGAAGAACACCCCTCACACAATGGGCTGTAGCTACCAAAATCTAAAACCTAATCCACAGAATTCATAGCTAACAGAGCAATCTTTTTTATTTGGACTTCAGATAATTACCAACTATCTCTGACACAAGATTAGGAACAAGTTCTTTTTATGTTTTTCCTCAGGTAGAAAAATTTTGCTAGACGAAAACAGAAAATACCACCCAACTGTATTTATTATGATGTAAGGAAGCGCATTATCTGGGCTGGGGGGGAGAAAATACAGTGAAACCCTTCTGATCTTGCTTCAAAGCTTGTTGGTAGTTTGCAGAAAAGAGGAATCAAGTAGCCTCTCATTCTTTACCTTTAACTTCTCTTGTTCTGCTATCCCTTCCACATAACTTCCTCTTTCAGTTTAAAACTAAACTGAATGTTTTTCCTCATTTGCAAATCAGAAGAACAATCCATTTTTGACTGAAAAAAAAAAGTTTATAATTTCATTACCTGCTTCTAATTGCATATTTATTCTTCTACCTGAAGAAAGGGTGCCATACTGTATTTTAAGGTGTTATAAATAAGAAGAGGAACATCACTGCAAAACATTATCTCAGACAACTTCAATATAGACAAATTACCAGATGTACATGGAAAAGACACTGAAGGTCAATCAGTCTGATTCTGTTAGATGCAGTTTCACATTTATCATTACTTTGGAAAAGTGAGCTTCTTGTAACGTAAAGGAGGGACCAATTAAATTCTCCCCAAATTTAGGCGATGGCAGTTTTAATACCTTCCAGTCCATTTATTATTCCTAGACAAGTAGGAAAAATGTCACTATAAATCTCCAGACTATCTTTAATATAACCAGGTGTTTATAGCTATTCACTTTAGGCAATAGTTTCTGCTCTTCATCTACTGCTTCTGCCTATTTAATCGCATTTAATATACCCTGTTTACTCTCTTCCCTTTCCACATGAAATTCCTCACAGAAAAATAAAGTTAAGGAATGCTTAGTAGAACTCCCTTTCATTTTATTATGAACTACCGTTAAAACACACTCAAGGATCATCAAAAAACAAGTTAGTACACACAGCAGGCTCAACTTTTTTCATGTGTTTTTTCTTTTGGCTCCTCTCTCCTTTTCCTTTCTTTCTTTCTTCTGAAGTTTCTGCTATGTTATTCCACAAGCAATAACATTAGCTACATGATCCTATACCAAATATAAATCTCAGAAATAAAGAACTTCTCATCCTCCTCATATTTTGCATTAGCGACAGGGCCCTTTTTCCAAGAGTTAGACTCTGACATCTGAGTTCAGCCGTATTATCACCAACAATACATGCTTTTTATTATTGATGTCTATACCCCATGTCCTCACAAGTAAAAAAGGTGTGATGGAGACAAACCAAGACTTTCTGTGGTCATTGGAAATAGAAAACTTAAGAATCAAAATTACCCAGCAGAGCAAATGTTATGAGGAACACACTCATCTGTTTGGTGCTGTTGCCTACAAGCCAATGAAGAGCAGGCTTATCTAGGTCTGCGTAATTTTGTGTTGGTAAGTCCGTAATATAGAAGTCACTTTAAAACAAAATGAACTAGAACATGATCTCAGCTTATTATTTTAAAATCAAATTTTAGATTCCAAAGGGAAAGCAAGCTTCCTGACATAGAACATACCAATATCTATAAATATGAGAATTAGAACCAGTAGGCTTTTGAAACAAACGCAATTCAGCTGCTCCTCTAGCATTTTTCACTTAACTTTGCATTCCTCTTACATGCTTAAATAGGCATACAACACAAAACATAAATGGTTTCACTTAAACATTTATCCTTCAGTATCTTAATGAACCAGAGCCCTGGGTTGTAGGAAAACAGCAATTCCCAAGCTGCTTTGTGCAACAGTTCCCTCCCAAACTACCTCTACTGCTCACTCTGCCCCTTATAACTAGTCTGGACACAACCCTGTATGAGTGATGAGATTAAATGGCTTCTCGTATGGCAAAATGTCTTGAACCTCAAGCATCTCTTATGCTTTCCTTTAGGTAGCTATGCCCTCAAATCCAGAATGCATGTATTAAACTTACCAAAAAATTAATAGGCATGTTTATTTTTTCCCCACACTAAGAAATACTTATTTTAAGAAAACAGCCTATCTTCTCTGCTTACAGTGATAAAACACACTGTGAAGATTATCATTAACAATTGTACATCCTGAAGCACAATGCAATAAACAGTACTAGAAATTCTCGTATGTTCTTAAGCACAGACTCAATTTTGGTATTACATGCTGCTTTTACTTCTGCTTACATGAGTTTTGTACATCATAGTTACCACTGATGCTCAATCAGTAGAAAATTAATTTAACAAAACAGCAGATGAATAACAGCACCTCAGGGGGTCAGAAAAATTTCAGGGGAAAAAAATTTTATCAACAGAAATATTTGGATTTTCCATGAAAACTTCATCTATTCAGCACTGGGAAGAATGGGGTACGCTAATGATACCGCTGCCTTAGAATAGTGGTAGCTGATAGTCAGATTTCCCCCTTCTCAATTCAGTATGCAGATCTTCTGCATGGTAAGACTTATAAGCACCAATAAACATTGTATGAGAATAATATGACCAGTTGGGAGTTACGGGAGCTTATGCTAAAAGAAGTGAGGCGGGACTATGTTCTGCCATTACAGCAATTTCTAATGGAACAGTAGTTTCAAATAAAATCTATCACCACTATGTTTAACCCACTACTATTTTGTAGGCTCCCGCGGCAAGACAATAATGTTACGATTATCACCATTTAAACCACACACATGCAATAATAAAAAACAAATTCTCTGCAATAAGAGTAAAATAGATACCTGCAGGACTGCCAGCATTTTCTCCTTGATGCAGCTGAATACCAGCAGAATCTATAGAGTTTACTGTAACTGTCTGTAGATTTGGCAATTGAGCAGTGCTTAGACTAACTGGAGTTGACGTCAACGCCCCACCTGCTGCAACTTGACCAAGAGTGAGAGTCTGCACAGGTGTTAGAGTTATTTGTTGACCAGGTGCATTCTGAATTTGCAAGTTCTGCAAGTTCTGAACTCCTTGCACTTGAAATGTCTGCCAGGTTATCTGCCCAGAAGGGGTCACTGTTTGTGCCTGAATTAAAAAAGTTCCAGGATTCAGCTGCAGTTGAAGATTTTGAAGAGCCTGTTGAGATATACTTTGACTTGCTTGCACACCGTGGATTGTCTGTTGCGCAATACCTTGTACAATCTGGGCTTGACTCGTTGGCTGCTGAGACTCTTGAAGCTGTATGTGTTGTACAATTGGCTGTGCTGTGGAGACCTGAATATTCTGAGCCTGTGTGTCATCAGAGACTGATGTCTGGATGTAATTTCCCTGAAGATCAGAACTATGAACTTGGCCACTAGTTGTAGTCAAGTTGTTTGCATTTTGTTCCAATATACTTGAACTGTCAATGGTAACGGGCAATTGTGATGAAGATGAAGTTGGCACAAATAAGTCATTATCAGTGGCAGTTTCTGTAATTTCAGGAGAAACTTGCTCACCAGTCCTTTCAGAAGTGTCTGAACTATCCATGGCCTGTCCGGTATTTATCAAGTGCCCATCTGCATTAATGCCTGCTGTCATGGTTTGAGAACCACTGCCAAGTCCCAGAGAATCTAGATCAACACTATTGATGGGTACAAAAGTAATATTTCCTGGCAGTCCAAGAGGGACATTAGCAACTACTTGTGCTTGGCCAGGGAAAGATGAACCACCAATTGCAACTCCCTGAACCTGGACTTGACCAGACTGTGATAAGATATTCTGAATATTAGCTGAAGGTGTTCCAGAGGCAATGATGGTTTGATTAGAGCCAGGAATGATCTGAATTTGACCAGTTTCTTGATTTATACTGCTATTATCAGAAGAGGCTGCAAAGCCAAGTTGAACCTGCTGACCATCCGCTGTCTGGATCTGGGGTATTACTTGGTATTGTACGTTAGACACTGTACCATTCGACGAATCTGATCCTGGTGCAACAGAAAAGATTTGTTGATTTTGCAAACTCTGAATAGGAAGGACATACTGCCCACTTGAAGTTACTGTGGCAGCACCTGGAATCTGTACTATATTACCAGCTTCATCCTTTATAGTGGCAGGAGCTGCAGACAAGACCTCCCATCTATTTGGGGTTCCTGTTAATTGCACAGAAGCCAAATCCCCTGTCTGAATAAAAAGAAAAAAGAAAAGAGAAAATTAAAACAAGAGACATACAGACTATATGCTAGAACAGTCATGCAATTCAACACTAGATATTGACACACTACTGGAGAACATGCAGTGCAGCCCATATGAACAAGAGCAACTGGATTAGAACTATGAAATACAGATTTTGTAAGTCAGCTAATGCCTAAGTCAGGGTAACCAACCTGTGGGTTGTGAGCTGCATGTTGCTCGCGAGCAGGTCAAATGCAGCTCCTGTGCCATGGCTACGTCAGGTGACCAGCAGCAGGGTTATTCTGGTGTGGGGGCTGCTGGGTAATCCAAATCCCTGGCTGTGGGAAGAAGGGAGCTGGCAGGGGCTGCTGGAGCTGTCATCACCAGGTTACCCTGGGACTCAGCTACGCTCTTTACCTGGCCCGGCACCTAACGCACAGAAGCGGAGGAATTGCTGTGAAGGCCACGTCATCTCTATCTCCTGGAGCTCCACTGCCTTTTGACTCTGTTATATACGGTATAGATGTGCACATTGTGACTCTCAGCAGTACCGAGTGTGTCAAGAGGTGACTTAGTCACACGGTTGGAAAGACTGGATAGCCTCAGTTTAAGTTACACATAACACAAAGTCCTAGTAGTTATAAGCTGGTCTGAGTTACTGTTTCACTAGGGAAGAAGGTCTCTAAACTAAGGACTTTTACACTTAAATAGCAGTTGGATTAATCATATGTACCCGTTGGGTCGGTGGTGGGGGTGGGGGGGAATCTATCTTCATTAAGCTGGAACAATAGAAAAGGTCAATATTTCAGAACAGACCCCTGGATGGTTAAAGATTAAAGAACCTAAGGACTGATATAGTATGCTTTTGTTTCTTATTCAGTAAAGAAAAGGTAAATTGCACTTACCTTTCTTTACCAAAGCAAGCTTTTTTAGAATAGAGTATTAAGAATTAGATTTAACATCCTACAATGCTTAGCACAGATTTGTGTAGTCAACCAATTTGGTACTGTAAATAGCCATTAATCTAAAAAAGATGTAGTTAAGTTTCTCTTTATCTGTTTTACAGCACTACAGTAAACCAATGCAATAACCTCATATTTAGCAACAAGTAACTAACTTGTCTTACAACTCATTCAGCTCTGTGAAACAAATTTTGTCTCTTTGGCAGAGCCCACAGGCCATATAAAGAAAAGCTCCAGTTTGTCCTTCTGCATCGATCCTGTCATCACTCCTGGTAGGGAAGTTACCGAAGCATATCACAGCTTCCTTCTGATGCTGCACTCTGACTTCCTTTAGAACAAAACCTGGACATGCAAAATACAGCACACAGCTTATTCTTCTCTGACATGGCATTGAGACTTAGCCAGCCTGAATGAATCCTGCAGCATGCATCCAAGTGAATTTAGTCCACAGCGTAGGCTGGGACTTTTCTAGTTTCACTTTCTCATCCTATTCCGAGCTGCGACACTAAAACGTTTACAAGAAAAACACTCTATTTCAGTCTGAGTACTTACTAAACAAATAGTTTTGCTGCGCTTGGCAAGCTTCGTTTCCAGTAACAAAACACAAATCTTGGTTCTAAATTCCTCTCAAGAGCTGTACAAATAATAATTGTCAATGAAAAAGAATGCTAGCCTTTTTTTGCCCTCAAAGATTATATATAATCTTTCAGGTAGTTTATTAGTAAATAGATACAGCATGACCATAACAAAAGCAATTTTATGGCCTTAATGCTTCACTGATCAGAAAGGGTAATGGTAATTCCATTCTATTATTTTCTTTTTCTCTTACACTGATTAACCGTTCATTTAAAGAACATATTTAAATACTTTACTCTTTCAAGCTTGTAATTTATGAGATTAGAAAAAAATTATGCGATATTCTATACCACACCATCTTAACTACAAAAAGGCAAAAAAATTCCATTTTCCTCTGCTACCACATTAGCTTTATACTCTTGTGTTTAATACTGTTTACACATAGGTGCTGAAATGCTCTTAAGAAAGTTCATAACTACTCAATCCACTATAGATACTTAGTAACTGAAAAATTTATAAAGTATCAAAAGACCCATAAAAGTCATAGGTAAACATCAGCCAGAAAATACCAAAAGCAAAAATATGACTGTTATGTTTAATGTGTGTCATTATAAAATAAATACATAATATAATGTGCTGATAATATCTGTTAGAACAAGAAAGAAAGAAAAAGTGATGGGAACCCTTATTAAGTCTGATATAATTAATTTCTCACTGATTTAAGACTATGTACAACCAAATGTTGAATGTTTAGGCTATAACTGGACTGACCTAATATGCAATGGTATGTCTATGTCTACTCATACATAATGCATACGCATATCCTTCACAGAAATAGTTCAAAGGGAACTTGTCTCCTTCATGATATGGAAGTGACCTATGTTATTCTTCTCCTCTCCAAACATACGTTGATTTCCCTATCGCCATCCAATGGCTTTTGCCCTGTGCATGCTGGGCACACGTCTCCTCACCTTCTCATGATCTAGTGCAATCTTCCCTCAAATCCTACCCTGTATGGGTTTTAGCCCAATGGAGGCACTCCTTTAGTAGATGCACTTGTCCGTCCATGGAGAAGTTCAGGGTAACCACGCACATGGATATGAAGCTATTGCCACACATAGTACATGAAATGCCTGTTACTCACATGTTGCTCGTACAGCTGGCTATATCAGACGCTACCAGATGAATCATGAGGAGGGAGGGGCAAAAAGAGGGTGAGGCCTCCAAGAAGTTATCTGGCAGCTATCAAAATTGCTAGTATAAACGCATGAAAAAACCCTGTATGGTAAAGAGTACTTGAGGATTATCTCTAACCTCAACCGGTCATCAGCCTGTTGTAACAAGCTTCTCTGTTATACCCTTTCTCAGTCAGCTGAGCTAGTAGGACATTTCTTGGACTCCTTTATCTAATAAAAAGAGTAGTAACCTTTCACTGCATCCTCAAGCAATTAAGCACTGTTGTAGTAACTCAAAGTTCTACCGCTGATGTATGAGCAGCAACATCTACAGCCCACTCACTGATCTTTACAGTGCAGTCTTAATAGACCAGAGTTTGTTTGCTGTCTCTCAGCCATCCGTGAAAAATACTTAGAGGGTGGAGATAAAGCAACAGTTCTTTTCCTTATCAACTGATACTCAGACAGCAGTTATTTGGAAGCTGCTCCTTTAAGAGAAGGCTGGATGGTTGCAACTCAAAGGCTCTGTGTCAAGAGGAAGGGACAAAGATCTGAGGAAAGTTCAGCATTTGCACTACTCAACCAAGGAGGAGAGAACAGGAAGCAACGGGGAGTTCACGGGAAGCAATATCGGGAAACAAGAGAAAGAGACAGGAATAGAGCGAAGACAGTAGCTGGCACAAGACACGGGAAGAATTAAAATCAAATGATACGTCCACCTGAAGAAAGGTCAAGTACTACCAAAGAGTGGAAGCAACAACTGCTGTTCAGCCTGTCTTTTGATTCTTTAACAAGCCTTGTATCATTTCCAGCAGGCAAAATAAGGAGATCTCTCCGAGCTGAAATTCTCATCCCTGAAGAATGAGGGGTCATGATAAATAAAAATCTACTAATCGTTCTGTTCAATTTGTTTAGAGAAAATTAAAGCAACATTAAAGAAAAAATACATACAGAAGATAAAATACCTTTAAAAAATTATCTAAACCATGTTAAGGGATGGAACTTGGGTTGAAAAAAAAAAATCCATCCTTCACCACTGTAAAATTGGAAAGAGGAGAACCATCCCCCTCAGAACTGTTATATGTTGTAGGCGCCTGCATTTCAACATGTCAAATGTGATCAACTGGACACACGCCATTAGCCATCAGTATTTTATTGCTAAAGAACTACCAAACGTTTATCTGTGCTGGTCTATTGTGGACTGCTTTTTGCTGCACTTTTCAGAAAGTCACTTTTGCCCCATTTAGTCCTGGAGCAAAAGCATCAGCAAAACGAGCAGAGGTGGACAGATAATGAGTCACGAGCTCCTAAACATTTAAAAATCACATACCTAATGAAGAAGATTGGCCACTGCCTCATCCAAATTGTTGTTTTATGTAAGAGTTAGGGCTCTAATGCATTAGTTTAATACCAGGTGTTTACCAAGCTACAGTAAACTATCTGTGCATTCTTAGGCCATTACAAATACCAGATAAAATGCACTTGCTCCAACTCTTTCATTAAGGTATGAGCTAATGCATTCTATCTTGTATTTGCCATAGGTTAAAAACACGTTCAACGTCAGTCACTGTGGTTCGGCTGACACAAATCTGCTCGTTAAGGCAAATTAATTCTGTTGCATGTTTCAGCCCCCTGCCAATGAAGCCACTCAATTCAGAGAAATACATTTGCCCAAATCAAAAGTTTAGGGAATCAAAGAATGTTTTTGGGGAAAAGTAATATCTGGGGCTGCTTAAAATGCTGGTTTAAAAGACAACACCAATTTGGTGAAACATATCTAACATCTGTGTCTCATTTAAGGAATGTCAACATCTTTTTGCTTGAGATGGGACTCTAGACCCAAAACTTTAATAGCTTCTTTTTAATCAGCAGAAGTTCAGAACCCATCTAAATTAAGACAACACAAATACCCTGACACTAGTAGAAACAAGAAAGCTGCAGTATTAAGGAGTGAGACATGGCATGCGTATTACTCTCTATATAACTGCATGCCAAACTAGAATTTTGCATAGAAGTTTGTTGAAATGGTTTGTTTTCCTCAACTCAGGTGCTGAAGGCCCTACAAAATCATCAAGAAGGGCAAGAAAGAGGACCTCAGGCCAGTCATCCTCAACTTGATCTTTGGGAAGGCAATGGAGCAAATAACCTTGAAAATAACCCGAGGGGGACGACACAGGACACAAACAAAAAAACCCAAACCCAACAACTTCAAATAACCTTGGTGGAAAAAAGAAAGAAGGTGTCAGAACTAGTCAGCCTAGACTTCGGAAAGGGAAATGAAGCTCAGTTAACTAAC